GTAAGAGGCTAGAGTTGAACATTTCTAGATTTAAGCAGAATGTGATCGGTTAATCTTGTATTTATTCCAGAAATGAATGTATTCATTCATTTATTTATTTTCTGAATTCGATGAAAGAAGATATCCTCTGTACTAAAATTCAGTATTTAGGTTTGGCATTTAGTAGACTGCCTTTCCCCCTTTTATTCAGTTCCGTTTTGTTTTTTTCTACCAATTTGTGGGTCATTTTCTTCTCTTGTAAATGAAAACATTCCCTTCTGTTCCATCACCCATCTCCTACCTCCTAGCACAGTTCCAGTGAAGGGTTGTTGTTTAGAAAGCAGAGTTTGTCTTTTCTTTTCTTTGGCACCATTGAGACTACATCCTGTTTGTTTGGATTTCATTGCCCTCAACACACAAAGTAAAGAGAGTCAGAGACATTAAGCATTCAAAGTGAGAGATTACTTGTAAGATTTTTATGATCCTCTGAAAATAGTTTCATGTTTTTTTTTTTTTCTTTTGAGTTGGAGTCTCACTGTCGCCCAGACTGGAGTGCAGTGGCCGCTCCCAGCCACCGCAGCCTCGACCTGCTGGGCTCCGGCGATCCTTCTGCCTCAGCCTTTCAGGTAGCCGGAATTACAGGCACGCGCTACCATGCCCGGCTAATTTTGAGATGAGGTCTCACTGCCCAGGTGGGTCTCGAACCCGCAGGCTCAGGCAATCCACTCACCTCAGCCTCCCAAAGGCGCGGGATTACAGGCTGAACCACCGAGCCCGGCTAGTTTCATGTTTTAGTGAAACTTAGTGAAGTAAACATTTCTATGTAAAGACTTGAAATAGTCCACTTAAAAAAAAAAAAAAGACAACTGAACATCACTCTAATTCCCATAACATACATTCCTCAAACATAGGTCTGACTTTGAATGATTCTTCTACTTTGTCATCTATGTAGGGATTAAAAAGCCTCTTTCATTCAGACTCACAGTGAATAAATAAAACTTTTTATTTACTGTTTATTTTGATGGATCAGTGATGGAACTGCTTATATGAAAATTAATAGTACTGGGCATGCATAATACACTAACAATAATTACTAATTATTCTCTCAAAAAGTAGGTAAAATGGTAATATAAATATTAAAATACATTTTTCTACTAAATAGCTAATGAATGTACTATATTTAAAGGTACTTAATCATATAGTCATAGGATTTATTTTACAGATGAAGAGATTAAGATAAGAAGAGATTAAGTGATATGTCCAAAGTCATACAGAGTTTTGAAGCAGAGCTTGGAACCTCCTTGCTCCCAGTTTACTTTTTCTCACATGTCACACGAGTTTAATAGAGTATTTTCAGAAGACAGCATAAAATTTGAATATACTCAAAAGAACTACAAAATGCAAAGTTGAATTAAACTCTGGATCATTTTGAAATTGTAAGGGGATGGGAGGAGGGGACAGGAGAAGTCAATTTCTTAAAGAATGAGATTTGAAAGTTGAAATTACTCCTTGATCCATGGGCTGCAGCATGGATGTTACATTATCAGGCATGAAAAAAAATTCATCTCATCAGAGTTTCTGGGTGACCAAGTGCGCTTTCAATGAGCAGTAATATTTTGAAAGAAGTCTTTTTTTCTAAGAATTAAGTCTCAACAGTGGGCTTAAAATATTCAATAAGCTATGCTGTAAACAGATGTGCTATAATCCAGGCTTTGTTGTTCCATGGATAGAGCACAGGCAGAGCAGATTTAGTATCATTCTTAAGGGTCTTAGGAATTTTGGAATCATAAATGAGCACTGGCTTCAACTTAAAGTGACCAGTTGCATTAGACCCTTACTAAAGAATAGGCCTGTTCTTAGAAACTTTGAAGCCTGCATTGACTTCTCCTCTCTAGCTACGAAAGTCCTAGATAGTGTCTTCTTTCAATGGAAGGCTGTTTCTTCCACACTGAAAATGTTTTGCTGAGTGTAGCCACCTTCATCAATAATCTTAGCTAGATCTTCTGGATAACTTATTGCAGTGTCTACATCAGTACTTGCTGCTTTACCTTGGACTTTTATGTTTTGGAGAGGACTTCTTTTCCTAAACCTCATGAACCATCCTCTGCAAGCTTTCAGCTTTTCTCCTGCAGCATCCTTACCCTCTCTCAGCCTTTGTAAAATTTAAGAGGCTAGGGCCTTGTTCTTAATTATGCTTTGGCTTAAGGAAATGTGACTGGTTCAATCATCTATCCAGACCATTCAAACATTCTCCATATCACCAATAAGCCTACTTCACTTTCTTGCCACTCATGTGTTCACTGGAATAGCACTTTTAATTTCCTTCAAGAACTTTATGTTTGCATTCCCAACTTGGCAATTTGGTGCAAGAGGCTAAGCTTTTGGCCTATCCCAGCTTTTACACTAAGCTTTTTACACCAAGCTTAATCATTTCTAGCTTTTGATTTAAAAGTTACAGACATATGGCCTTTCCTTTTACTTGCACACTTAGAAAACATTGTAAGGTTATACACTCGGCCTAATTTCAATATTGTTTTGTCTCAGGGAATGGGGAGGCCAGAGGAGAGGAAAATAAATGGGAAAACAGCAGGTTGGTGAAGCAGTCAGAGCACACACAACATTTATACAACATTTATTGATTAAGTTTGCCATCTGGCCAGGTATAATGGCACACACCTGTAAATCCAGCACTTTGGGAGATCATGGTGAGAGTATCACTTGAGTCCAGGAGTTCAAGACCAGCCTGTGCAATATAGACCCTGTCCCTATTTTTAAAAAAAGTTTGCCAAGTTATGTGGGCACAGCTCACATAAGCTTTGATTAACAAACACAGGGAGTTACATTTCCCATTAGATAGTATTGTGCTCACTGATATAGCACTCATTTGGTATTTATGCACTCAATAGTGATGCCCCAAAACAATTACAATAATGATAACGAAAACACTTGAAATATTCTGAGAATTACAGAAATGTGACACAGGGACACAAAACAAACACATGCTGGTGGAAAAATGGTGCCAACAGACTTGGCTTAATACAGGGTTGCCACAAACTTTCAATTAAAAAAAACCAAACTACAATATCTGTGAAGCACAATAAAGTGAAGTGCATTGCAACAAGATATGCCTGTAACTGTTTGGTTGTTATTAAGTAGACTTCTAAAGCAATGAATGCATGTAGCAGGCAAGACCTTAAATTTTGTGTACCTTATGCATATACTTTAAGGACAGAAAGGATCTTAAAGCTACTTATTTGGGATGTCTATAAATCATATCATATTTTGTTTCATTTGTCAGTGTTATTAATGATAACAGGATTCTAAGAATACACTATCATGTTGATTAAATTGAGTAGTTTTCATTTCTGTGTTGTTGTATATATTAAAAGGAATCAGATTTTCTCAAATAAAGGAGAAAATCTCCACACGCACACACACACACAAAATGTGTATGTAACATATACATAAGCTTTGATTTCACACAGGGAGCTACATTTTCTATTGCATAGTATTGTGCTCATTGATATGGCACTCATTGGTATTTATACCATCAATAGGCATCTCTTTTTTTTTTTTTTTTTTTTCTGAGTTGGAGTCTCACTCTGTCGCCCAGACTGGAGTGCAGTGGCCGCTCCCGGCCACCGCAGCCTCGACCTGCTGGGCTCCGGCGATCCTTCCACCTCAGCCTTCCAAGTAGCCAGAATTACAGGCATGCGCTACCACGCCCGGCTGATTTTTTGATTTATTGTAGACATGAGGTCTCGCTGCCCAGGCGGGTCTCAAACCCGCGGGCTCAGGCAATCCACTCACCTCAGCCTCCCAAAGGCGCGGGATTACAGGCTGAGCCACCGAGCCCGGCTCAATAGGCATCTCTTTATAACTGACCCAAATACACCAATGTGTGTATAGGACTACAGGCAAGTTGCTCAGCATACTTTGTACTGAAGCCACAAATACAGAGAAGTCATATGGCATCTTTGAAGTACTAATCCCAAAAACAAGCCAAAGTACTCCATTATTTTCCATTTTTCCTGGTGTTTTACTTTTTATGATTTTTCCACATGCTTATTTTATTTAAAAAATTGTTTATTAAAATGGGCTTCCAACCCCATTTTCCTGCCATTTCTTAATCCGTCTTTGAATTCTATCATACACCTCTTTTATGCAATAGATGTGTTACTAATATAGTAATGTGCAAAAACCAAAATTTTAATAGTACAATATTTAAAAATACTAAAGGTACTATTTAAGTGCAGTACATGTAATTTTTTGTAAATCAACCATTTATTTCTTAACTTATTTATTTAAAACATGAATAATTAAGCAGTCTATAAATTGAGTCTTTTTTGTGAGTGTGAGATAGCATACTAGAGATATTTTACTCTAAAATGAAAGGTGACCAAGAATGGATTATGAGACCATTAAAAATATCCAAAAACTTCATGGAAATTTTAAGATATGAATAACAGAGAAAAATAAATGCCCATTGTATGAACTATACTATAGATATTACTTGGCAATATTTTTGGTAGTACAAGTTTTAGTTTGTACATCTACTGGAATTTTGGGTCTGTAAATTACTTTTAATCTGGCCTAAAACCTGCAAAAACATAAATTGGAATCTGGAGTTGCACATTAATTCTCATAGACTTGTATGTAAATTATTTCTGAAATTCTTGAAACCACTGTCATTTGAAGCAACACATAAACCAACATCAATCTTTGAATTAGAAGTTATTATTAAAAATAACCTTTTAGTGTGGTGGGGTAACCTTGATGTTATAATAGTGGTAGTTTCTGAATAGTTTTCTTCATTTTTTAATAAAAAGACCAAGTTTTAAAATATTAGTAATATTGCAAAAATGAGTCTTTGCTCAGGCTTAGAAGATGTCCTATAATGCCATTTAGATTCTTTTTCTTAAAATAATTTTTTTTTCTGCTGGAAGTTTCAGTCCTCTGTACCATGAAGGAAAAATCTTGATATTGCATGCCAACTGTGTCACCCAGGATAGCTGAGTTACCTGTTAAAGCTCCTGTAATCAGGCAGTTCTGCCCTTCCTTCAGGCTTGAAAAGTTTAGGATATAAAGCTTCTAAAAGCTCCGGATCATTGCTAATGGCCTGTTCCCAGGGAGACTGATAGTACTTGGGGACAGCCGTGGTGTTGAATCTTTCAGGAGGAATTTCCTTCAATGGTCCAGAATATCCTTTGGAAAAATATAGCAAAAATAAGTAAATACAGTACCCGAGAGTTACTAAACTTTTCCTAACATTTTATTGTGTTTAATTTTTTCATGCTGGGGTAAATTTATGAAGCATGCATCCTTTTTACGATCTCTCAGAAAAAAGCAGTCTGCAAGTATTAGACATTTTTAATTTTTTTAAGCTTATGAAATTTTAAAAAGAAACCAGTTTTTTAAATGTTTTATTTTTCCAAATCATACAGTTATATTTTCCTTTACTATCTTAGTATAGAATTTTTTTTAATGGTAAATCTGTTCATTTAATTTTTCAAAAATTGTACCACTTACATCAATTTATATTGATGTTAGATACCACAGTTAGTTAATTTAAAAATGTTTATTGAGTGTCTATTGCAAAATCTTAGTCTAAGCTAGGGGAAATAACAATGAAGACAAAATCTCCCTCCTCTTGGAGCTGATTCTTTAGAAGTGATGTTTGAGTCTTGTCTATCTTAAATTGCTGAGTGCTCTTTGAGATGTTTAAGCTTCAAAACGGTGAGATAACTTGTTTCTACTGCCTTATTCAGGCTCTGCTTCTACTCTCTGATCTATCCATTGTTTACTTTTTTCCTCAAGATTTCTTACCTAGCTTTTCTGCTTCAGGTCTTATTCCTGGATTTATTCTTCTCACAAAAGCTAGAAATGTTCAGTAAGTACTGTTTACAAATCACACAAATTCTGGAATAGATCTTTGAACCATTTTCACAAGTGGCATGCTTCCAATTTTCTAAGGCAGGGGTCCCAAACCCTGGGGCCATGGACCCACACTACACAGAGTAGGTGAGCAGCAGGTGAATGAGCAAGACTTCATCTGTATTTACAGTCACTCCCTATGGCTGGCATTACTGCCTGAGCTCCATGTTCTGTCAGAACAGGTGGCATTAGATTCTCATAGGAGCGCAAACCCTATTGCGAATTGCACATGTGAGGCATCTAGGTTGCACACTCCTTTTGAGAACCTAATGCCTGATGATCTGAAGTGGAGCTGAGGTGGTGTTGCTAGCACTGAGCAGTGGCTACAAATATAGATTAACATTAGCAGGGAGGCTTGACTGCACATCACCCCTCCTCCCTCTCCCCATCTGTGGAAAAATTATATTCCGTAAAACTGGTCCCTGATGCCAAAAAGGTTGGGGACTGCTGCCTAAGGCACAGTTCTACTTTTCTACACTACCATACTGCCTAATTATGTCCTTACAATACTTTCTTCCACTGTGTCAAAACTCTTTACCATTTTAATTCTACTTTTATTTTTCCCCAGTGCTCTTTCCCATCTCTAAGATGTTTGTTTATTTTTTTCCTATCAAACCATACCTATCTTATCTTTCCACAAAACACTTATTTCCTCTAAAACAAACAAACAAAAAACCTTGATAATTCCATCTCTAGGCAGTTGTTTGTGGTAACTCCATTTTCTTCAGTTTGCTTTCAGTACCTAATGGGAATCTCTTTTGGTAAGTTTCATTTATCTGCTTGCCACTTAAATACTGGTATTACTCAAAGCTCTTTTCTTACATTATACATTTTGCCTAGAAAATTCCATTTATACTTACGGTTTTAATTGTGTTCTATGATTTCTACTTTTTTCTTTTTTACCTACAAACCCTACTATTCAACTACTTATATTTGTTCAAATAAATGATCCACTGGCACCCTTTGTAACTTGTCTTGCTCTCAATACAGCCATTTTCTAATCCATGCTGCTGCTTTTTCTATATTTGTCATCTTAGCAAATGGTACCACTTTACCCGCAGATGCCCAAAGCATTATCTTAAACTCTCTCTTGTCCCCACAATAAATCAATGTTACCAACTTCTTAAGAATTTCTAAAATAGGCTCCCAAACTATTTGTGTTTCTGAATCTCTTTGGGTACTTACTTAAAATGTAGGTAATGAATTCCTCCCACCAGAGATTAGGCTTCAGTAAGTCTCATGTATGGCCTACAAATCCAAATTTTTAACAAACTCTCACACAAATCTTATGCAGGTGGTCTGCAAACAGAACAATGAGAAACGCTGTTCTAGAACATTCTCTCTTTCCTCTCCATGTCCATTCCTGCTCTGGGTCAGGCTCTGTCTATCTCTTGTCTGGGCCTTCATGATGGCTCCACACTAATCCTTTAGCTCTCCACCCTTCTCCCAGCCACTCCACTGCTGCCTTCTTAACCAGTCACTCATTTCCCTTGCTTGGCTGCTCTAATGGCTCTCCAGGAAAAAATCTAAATGACTCAGCATGATCCCATAACCCTTTCTACCTGTCCAGCCTCAGATCCTTGCATTCTTCTCTCACATTTTATGCTGCAGGACTATGGATCTACTCGTTGCTTGTCATTTGGTGTGTCCCCCTATGCCTCTCTACTTGGTTCATTTATTCCCTGTGCCTGGATTGTTCTCCCTAATTCTTGTTAGGTGTACATTTCTACTGTAAGTCTTAGCTCGAAGTTACCTCTTCTGAATGCAGCTATTCCCATCTCCCAAAAGAAAGTAATTATCTTCCCTGTGTCTTCCCCTTGTAAATTATATATAACTTTATTACTTCAACTACCACATTTTATTTCCTAACACTTCCTAGAGTTGATCAGTGCTCAGACTTACAGATACTGAAAATTTTTTAATTTTATAATATTTTTTAAAACTCCTTGAAATTCCTACCCTAACACAAGTTATTTTATTTCTGTGTATTTCCTTCCAGGTTTTCTTCACCCATAAACATAATGATCACATAACTATATAACCTAGCATACATGTAATTTTGTGTTTTACTTTTCTCCTACTTTGTTTAAAATACTTTTTTGCATGTTTCTACATCACACTCCTAATTATAATTATCTATTAAATTAAGGGATCAGAATTTATGAAATCCTTTCCCATTTTTAAGCATTGAGTTTCTAATTTCTTTTTATAGATGGCATGAACTAACAACTTTTTTTTTCTTTTTTAAAGACAAGGTCATACTCTGTCACCCAGGCTAGAGTGCAGTGACACAATGATGGCTCACTGCAGCCTCAAACCCTTGGGCTCAGGTGATCCTCCCACCTCAGCCACCGGAGTATCTGGGACTATAGGCACATACCACCATGCCTGGCTATTTTATTTTTATTTTTATACAGCCTGGGCTTCACTGTGTTGCCCAGGTTGGTCTTTAACTCCTGGTCTCAAGCAATCCTCCCACCTTGACTCCCAAAGTGCTGGTATTACAGGTGTGAGTCATTGTGTCCAGCCCATATCTTTTTTGATATGTGAATTATTTATAGGAAAGAATGTGCATACATTTAACCTTTCAGAAATATTATAATTCAGCAATGCTATATGCCAACGTTTTGCTTGTTTTTTAAATATATTTTAATATAACTAAAGTTCAAAGAAATTTTGTTTTTACAGTATTATGGTATTTTGATACTCTTTTTGATTCATATTTGAGAAAAGTTGACTTTTGGATACATAGTTAATCAATAACAAATTAATCTGCTAAATTAAAATAAACTATGTACTGGGCTTGATGGCTCAGGCTGTAATCCCAGCACTTTGGGAGGCCGAGGCGAATGGATTGCCTGAGTCCACAGGTTCAAGACCAGTCCCAGGCAACTTGGTGAGACCTCGTCTCTACAATAAATCAAAAATTAGCTGGGCATAGTAGCCCAAACCTGTAGTTCCAGTTACTTGGGAGACTGAGGCAGAAGGATCACTGGAGCCCAGCAGGTCGACGCTGGGATGTCCGTCAGCATGCCACTGCACTCCATCCAGCCTGGACAACAGAGTGAGACTCCAACTCAAAAATAAATAGATAAATAAATAAATAAACCATGGTTTGCTTCCTGAACTTGTACTTTTCAACTCACCAACCAAGAAGGAAGACTCTATTACATACTCTTGCTTCATAACAAACTACTTGATAACTCCCAAACTCTCCCTTTTCTTACTCCATATGCATACATATTTTCTAATAATTAATAATTAGATATTTAGCTCTAAATAGCTACATGAATTTGTATTTTAAAAATTTCTCTTTCAAATTAAACACCATATGTTCTCACTCATATGGAAACTAAGAAAAGTTGATCTAATAGAAGTAAAAAGTAGAACAGAAGACGCTAGAGACTGGGAAAGGTCGAGGGAAGAGGAAATAGAGATTTGTTAAAGAATGCAATATTACAGCTAGTAGGAAAAATAGCTTCTAGTGTTCTATAGCACTGTAGGATGACTATAGTGAACCATAATATATTGTAAAATTTCAAATAGTTAGGAGAATATTGAATGTTTCCAACACAAAGAAATGATAAATGAGATGTGGGATATGCTAAATACCCTGATCTGATCACTATACATTATATATACCGATGTATCACTACATACCCCATGAATATGTCCAATTATTATGTCAATTTAAAAAGTAATGAATTAGAGCTATATCACTGAGTTGGAGGTACTTCTTTGAGGTTTTATTAAATGAGAAAACTAAGATACAGAAAAGTACGTTTAAGCAAACAATTTCCCAAATTTCCTTCTCCGGACACACACACACACACATACACACACACACACATGCACACACACACTCACACACATATTTTCCTGATGATAAACAAAAGGCACATATGATATTTAATTGTGTACCCAGAAAAAAAGTGAGAATGTAAACATACTTTTGATATTTGTTCCTTCTCCCTATATCTATCTTAGCATATGAATTTTTTGAGGATAGGGATTAATCTTCTAATCATTTTGCGGTTCTACTGTATATAGAAATGACTGTATAATAAAAGCTCCAAGTGATGAGAATACCAAATTGTATTAACATTACCTTTTTCATATGTCCTCTCTCTTTCCTAGTTAAAAAAAAAAAAGACTCCAAAAATTAAGAAGCAAGGTGTTGCAATACAGAGGTTGGGCTAGATGAATGTATTTGTATCCTACTATATAAGAAGATAGTAAAGGTGAAAAAGAATTAACTTTAACTGAATGCTTTCATGTTAGGGATTATGCTCACACCATTATCCTTAATTCTCACAATGACCCTGTGCAATAAGATCTGTTTTCTTTATAGATTGAAGAAACTGAGGCCTGGGGAGATTTATTTCCTTTCCCAGCACAATAGTAAATTGGAAAAAGGTAGAAAGAGCCATAGGATTTAATCTAGGTCTGTCTGATTCTAAAGCTTGTTTCTTTTCCTATGTGGTTAATGCTACAGATGTAGACTCTGTCACTTGCTTTTTTGCCACAAGTTTTGTTTAAAAACTACTGGAGAACTTTATTTAAATACTTCATTTCAGAATTGTATGCATTTTAATTGTGCCAAATGGGTCTCTTTCAATTATATTTTACAAGATTTATTGGTAGTTTTTCTCATTGTGTTCAATAAGAATGCTCTAAGTGAAATCTATGATTGATATTCAACTTATGTTTAAATGATTTAAAGCTATACAGATGCTTCACTCATATATTTTCAAAAACAGCATACATTTGAGAAAAATTCTAGGAGTACTTTTGCTAAATTTACTATTTTTTTTACAAAAAATATGGCAGATATCACTAGTTTCAAGATAAAACCATCTTAAATTTTAAAAATCTACTTTAAACATTACTCTTAAGAAATGCTTGAATTTTTCAAAGATACTTGGAAGTTGCTTTGAAAAGTTATTGTCTAATAATAGATAAGTAGTTTTTTGAAAGATCTCATATTTTAAATCTAACATTATTTCTAAATAATATATACCGACTGGATAAGGATTTGCTTCTCTTTTAAGATAAAACAAATATATAGTTTTAGGGACTGCATTTAAAGTCTTTTGGGGGAGCAGAGAGTAGCAAAAGCAATCTTTACAAGCTTACTGCACACAAGTCATTTGCATATTTGGTACCAGACCTAGGTTTAAACTTTGATCAATCAATATGATCTCATAAACATTCATAACCTCAATTCCTTAATTGTAAAATGAGAATCATAATTAATATGTCATGGAGTTATTGCGAAATTAAAGAAGACAATATATACCACAGCATTTTGTAAATTGTGCAGTCCTATGCAAATAATATTTCAATATAATTAGAAATTATTTAATTTTCAATAAAGCAAGTGATTGCCAACAAATACAAAAGACTATGTAAAAGAGCATTTGGCTACTATAAATGTTTCATGTGATTCCTTTTGGTGTGAATTTTTACATTTATCTTGTATTTATTCACAAAACATATTTAATGAGAAAATATGTATCATTTAAATGCCATTTAATAGTGGCTTTAAATTACTTGAGTTGTATCTTTAAGTACACAGCAATTTAATTGTTTTGTCAGGGGAGTAGTTACCTGGTGCTATGTTATCTGGATTTGGAGGACTTCGTGGATCCGGGGTGTTGGGAGGAGTCAAGGGGGCTTGCTGGGAACCACCTTCCAAGTTGCTTCCATCCAGTTTCCCATTCTGCATAGCAATACTGTGCTGTATTTGACCAAACGGAAACACTGATGAAAACTGAGAAGTGGGAGGCACACTACTAGGGACTACATATGCAAGACCCCATTTGTTTATCATTTAAATACAATGCCAATTCATTATTTTATGGGACCTCAATAATTTACAGGGTAATGTGGTTGAGCACTTAAAGGAGAAATTTTACTGATATCAATCTAAGATTTGTTTTATGTTAACAATCCACTTAATAATAATTAAAGCTGGAATGAATAGAGCCTTACTGTGTGCCAGGCATTGTGTCTAGTGGTTCATATTAGTTGTTTAATTTTCTATTCACATATCCCTATGAGATAAATGTATTTAATTTTTAAATCCTTACTAATCTAATAATGTAGAGGATATTGGCCAAACTTTTGGCTTAGTTATTCTTACATTATCATTGTATTCTATAGTTGGACTTAGACTCTTTAATGTGTAGAAAGTTATAAAACTTAATCTGAAGTTTGCACAGCAGTCATACATACATCAAAAAAAGCACCCCCCCAACAACAAAAAAACATTTGTACTTTAACTTGCATGAACTTGTAGAAGGAAGAATTTGTAATTTTTAGAAAATAAAAGTTTTTGAAAATAAGAAGAGACATTTGTCTTAAATTGTAAATAAATTTGTTTTACTATTATAATTTAGGATTTATTCTACAATAATAAGATAACCCCTTAAAAATGTTCAATTTGCATTTTAAGAGAGAAAAATAGGAATTATAGTGGCTATATCCTCAAGATTATAGCTAGGAATAATGATAAGAATTATTCTTATAATTCTTCTAGTAAAGTATTGTTTTAATTACGTATGACAAATACGTGTATTTTAAAAATAAGTGCATACGGTCAAATTATTTTTTAACTTCAGAAAAAAACATAGTGAGGAGCATAGCAAATAGAAACCAAGTTTGACTCTTTTCTGTAACATGCAGAAAATATTTAATAACTTTAAAAATGTTTATATTTGTTTATAAGATATTGTGGTAAAATATACCTTTACATTTTATTACTTAACTTCATAGAAATTTCAGAATAAAATACTATCTTTTTCTAAAATTCAAATACCATAATTAAAGGCTGTATAGTAAAAGCCTCACCTGATAAAATTATGAAGGAAATAAAGTACATCCCCATCTTCATGACGCACCCACACAGTCACTCCCCATATGCCTTCTGCACTCAAGTTAATCTCTCCAGCATTCCCAAAGCCTACTTTTAAGTTATTAGTCTAAATTTATTCCTATATTCTTTGGTCTGTTGCATCAAAACCCACATGAGTCCGAGCAGATGACGTCAATGCTAACATGAAATCTTCACGAATAAGTTATATTTGTAAAATATTGAAAATCTGACTTGATATGCTAACTTTTCAGAAATGTATATATTTTCAAAGAATAAGTTTTAAAACAAATTCTTAATCTCTATTAGAATTTGAAAAGATCTATTTTAGGAAGACTTTTTCCCATAGCTGTCTTTGTCTGCAGTTAAAATGTATAGCAAAACCGAATTCAACATCATATCTGAAAAATCATCCACCATGACCAAGCAGGCTTCATCCCTGAGATGAGGGGCCGGTTCAACATTTGTAAAACTGTAAACATAATTAAATACATCAACAGATGTAAAAACGAAAATCACATGATTATATCATTAGATGCGGAAAAAGCTTTTTATAAAATCCAGCGTCTCTTCTTGATAAAAACTCTCAAACATCTAGGCATAGATGGAACATACCTCAAAATGGTAAGAGCCATCTACGAGAAACCCACAGCCAACATACTGCTAAACAGACAGAAATTGGAACCATTTCCCCTGAAAACTGGAACAAGACAAGGATGCTCACTCTTGTCCCTCCTTTTCAACATAGTTTTGGAAGTCCTAGCTAGAGCAATCAGACAAGAGAAGATCAGGGGTATCCAAATAGGAAAAGGGGAAGTCAAGTTATCCCTTTTTGCAGATGACATGATACTATACCTCGAAAACCCAAGAGAATCTGCCAAAAACCTCCTTGCACTGATAAAGAACTTTGGCAAAGTCTCAGGGTATAAAATAAATGTGCAAAAGACAGTCGCATTTCTATATTCCAACAATAAACAAACAGAAACCCAAATAAAAAGCACAATTCCATTCACAATTGTCACAAAAAAATCAAATACCTTGGTATCTTCCTAATCAGAGACGTGATAGACTTTTCCAACGAAAACTACAAAACACTAAACAAATGGAAAAATATTCCATGCTCATGGACTGGAAAAATCAACATTGTTAAGCTGTGCATCCTACCCAAGGCAATCTACAGATTTAAGGCAATACCCACTACATTACCAGCAGCATTCTCCTCAGACCTGGAAATAACAACACAGGAATTCATATGGAAACATAAGTAATCACAAATAGCCAAAACAATCCTCAGCAAAAAAAAAAAAAAAAAGAAAGAAAAAAAAAAAGCAGGAGATATCACACTCCTAGACTTTAAACTTTATTATAAAGCTTCAATAATCAAAACAACCTAGTATTGGTACAAGAGCAGGCATATAGGCCAACGGAACAGGATAGAGATTTTAGAAGCAAAACCTTCATTTCTCAACCAACTCATCTTTGACAAAGCCTCCACCATCAACCACTGGGGAGAAAAGAACCTATTCAGTAAATGGTGCTGGGAAAACTGACTGACCACATGCAAAAGATTAAAACAAGACCCCTACCTATCACCATACATAAAAATCTACTCTAAATGGATCAAAGACCTAAACATAAAACCTCAAACTATAAGAACCATAGAAAATGCAGGAGACACCCTTATGGAAATTGGAACTGGCAACCAATTCCTCATCAAAACCCCAAGTGTCCATGCCATAAGAGATAAGATAGACAAGTGGGACCTCATCAAACTGACAAGCTTCTGCAAAGCCAAAGAAACCATCAATAGAGTAGGGAGACAGCCCACAGACTAGGAAAAAATATTTGCCAACTGTATGTCTGACAAAGGCCTAACATCTACAATCTACAAGGAACTCAAATATGCCGAAAAGAAAAAAACAAACAGCCCCATTACAAAGTGGGCAAATATATATGAATAGATACTTCTCAAAAGAAGATATATAAGCAGCCAACAGATACATGAAAAAATGCTCAGTCTCACTAATCATTAAAGAAATGCAAATTAAATCTACACTGAGATACCACCTAACTCCAGTCAGGATGACTATCATCAATAACTCAAAAAACAACAGATGCTGGAGAGGATGCAGCAAAAAGGGAACACATCTACACTGTTGGTGAGAGCGTAAACTAGTACAGCTTCTGTGGAAAACAGTGTGGTGATTCCTAAAAGATCTAAAAATTGACATTCCGTACCACCCTGCAATCCCCCTACTGGGAATATACCCAGAACTCAAACCACTCTATAAAAAAAGATAACTGCACACATATGTTTACTGAAGCATTGCTCACAGTAGCAAGAACATGGAATCAACCGTGCTGCCCATCAGAAGAGAACTGGATTAAAAAAAAAATGTAGTACATATACACGATGGGATATTATGTAGTGATAAAGAAGGATAAAATCATGAACTTCACAGCAACCCGAACGGACTTCGAGTCTGTAATACTGAGTGATGTATCACAGAAACAAAGGAGTATCACATGTTCTCACACAATTGGACCTTGAACAATCATCATAATAGTATAAGAAAAGGATTGACAGTAGTGGGAAACTGTGGGGGGCGGGGCGCGGAGGGGGTAGGCAGGATTGGTAATAGTGGGAATCTGCAAGGGAAGGGGGCATGCCTCATCAACAAGGGTACCTGCATAATGAACATTTGTATACCCAATGCTGAATTGCGCCCCACATCTTTAAACTAAATAAATTGAAAGAGAAAATAAAATAAAATGTTTAGCAAAATATTAAAACGTTAAACACTGCATACTCAGTTGTAAGTCCACTATCATGTTCACTCTTTATTGCATACTGAACAAACCTAAGTGTTTTATCTTGTACCCAGACCTGCCTATCAAGTCTCATCCCTTATCAGTTTTTAGAGATGTACCCTAAGCTTCAAACCATACCACTTGATTCTCCCAATATCTTTATAATTTCCTACCTTTGATTCTTTGACCATTGGAATTTTGGCAAGAGACTCTCTCTCCCTCGTTACCATGGTTAAATCTGTCCTGATTTTTAAAAAACCATCCCTGATTCCCCTTACTCTCCAATCAAAAAGTATGTCTTTCCTCTCACCACTCGCAAATTGTTTGTCTTTTTAATAATCTGTTGTGTCCTGTTTTATTTACTAGGTTGAAAACAGGGAATTTTATCTTCCTCGTCTATTTGTCTGTTACAAAGCCTCGTATGATGCCTTACATAGCACAACTAGTTGGAGAATATTTGCTGAAATTTTAGGGAATAAATTGCCAAATCCAGCTGATTTTTATTTTATTTTATTTTTTGGAGACCATTTTCTTGCTCTGTTGCCCAGGCTTGAGTGCAGTGGCATGATCATAGTTCGCTGTAGTCTTGAACTTCTGGCCTCAAGCAAACCTCCTACCTTGTCCTCCCAAAGTGCTGGATTACAGCTGTGAGCCACCATGCCTGCCCTTCCTGATTTTTTTTTTTTTTACTATGACCTTTTAAAAAATGCCATCTTCCTTTTTCATTTTAGTCTTTATGTGCATATCTTCCTCATTTAACATGTAATATTTTCTATTTATCCTATGATAGGCTACCTTCTGTTCATTTCCCACCAAATATTTCTGTTTTAGTCAACCTAACTACTAACGTTTTTGAGTATGGCATTACTTCAATTTTTAGAAATTATTCTTTCTTGTCTAGTGAATAAGATGCAGACTCATGCCTGGTAATCAAGATCTTGTACTTACCCCATAAAGGATAACTTTCTTTCCTTGCATTTCTCCACAAACCAGTTTCTCATTACCTACATCTGCCCTCCTCATTTCTGCATGCTGTTTCATCTGCCTGAAATGCCCTCCTTCCTGTTTACCAAACCAAATCCTAGGTTTTCTCTAAGATCCATTTTAACATTTCTCTCTTCTTTCTGTCCAATGTAACCTACCATGAATTTCTCCATTTTGGGGGTATTATCTCAATACTTTAATAAAATCTGTGCTATCTTCTTGTGCCCTTTCTAATTTGTTCCTGTTAGCTGAATTTTGTTATTGTATTTAGGACATCTTGAATACCCAACCAGTAAATAATTTGGTTTAAGTCTAGTTGGGCACTATCATTCTTTTGCATTCTTTTTCCTTAGATCTAAGATAATGCTATACTTAAACTATTCTTAATAATGGATTATAGAAGATAAATCACTTTTGAATATATATAAAATTTAATGTTTTGCATTTTGAATTTGGCTATCCTATTTAACTTAATAATTGACTAGATTAGTATCTTCTTTAAATCTCCTAAATCTACACTGCCTTTTAAAAAAGTATAAAGTCTTGCCAACTTTAATTATAAATAAAAAGGAAGTTGACATAAATATGGGGAGCTTAAATGTATAATGAATAAAGAATTACTTTTTCTAAGTGACTAGAATGTGCTCAGGAAATGAATTTCACCTAAACTGATAAATTGTTCTAAATGAATTTCACCTAAACTGATAAATTAATTTTTAGGAATTGTAACACTACCCTTCTGTAACCTTTTCCTGTGGATTAATGATGAACAGGAAAACAATTCTTTCTAGTCAGTCACTAATCATTAGGAGACATCCAGTACCTTTATATCATTATTAAGTATACAAGAAAAGCCTTATAATAATTAGGTGGTAACTCGTTTTAGTTATAAGCCTTAAATTGCAGTACTCCATCTTCGGCAAGTCCCTTCAGAAAAGTTGGAAAGACAAATAAAAACATGTTTCTTTTTGTCTCAGCTAAGTTGACCCTAAAGAAAACAAAACTGCAGCCGTTAAATATGTAACTTAAAAACACATGTAATATGTATTACATGATTTCTGTTTAAATATTAATACAAATACAAAGGGCTTTTTTGTCTGTTCTATATATTTCTATGACAATTATACAGAAGTTTTTTTTTGACAAAATAAATATATGTTCCAATTCCAATGTATTTAGTATGGTCTGATTTCAGATTTACTTTTTATAGTGTACTTCCCCTTTGCCCATTATTATTTAAAACTTCTAGGGATTTAAAAAAGTTGAACCTTCTTTTGTAGCAATATATAGAAGACATTTTCATTATCATGAAGCATTCTTTCATTTTATTTTCCTTTGAATGCTTATTTTCCTCTTTTTTGCCCTTTTGTTTAAGAAGTAGCTCAGTTTATGAACTAGGGCTTCAAAATTGTCTCATGTAGCAAGCAGTGTTTCTTCAATTCATTTTAAGAACACACATTTCCTGTTATCACTGTTTGTGTCATAGAATGTATATAGGGCTTGAATTTGCCAGTCTCTCAGCAGTAGAGTAAGTTCAAAGCCACACTTATTTTTTTCTGCTTTTAAAATGATACTTACTATTTGAACAAATGCCATTGATTACCAGGAGGTTGGTTTATATTTTCATTTATATGTTCCCAAACATTATAATAAGAAATATATAAAACTAAGTTAAATTATTTTAGCAACATGTATAATTCAAAGGAAGCAGTAAAAGCTTGTTCCAGAAAATGTAGCCAATAAAATAGATTAATGTGGTAAAATCATAAAAAGGTGATTCAAGAATTAGATTGTAAGTAAACAGTTGCTCTCTATCTTTCAATATTATTTGGTCTCTTTATCACTAGATAAAAGGTTGTACTTCTTTATTTTTGAGCTTGCAACATTGTATCTAGAACATAATAGGCACTCATTAAATATTTGCTGAAGGCAAAAATGAAAAAATGGAATATATCTGCATCCAATATTATTTTTTACCTTCCTGTCATGTTAACAATATTCCAAGTTGCAATCTAGTGCCCTGACAAAGTGAATGCATAATGATTATAATGTAGCTCACTATCTTTGGCTACAATTTAGCATGCAGGCAATTTTTGGAATTAAGATCAGAGAACACACAGATCATGAAAGTCAGAAAGCATCTCAGAGAGCACTTAAATGCATCCCCTTATTTTATTTTATTTTATTTTATCTTATTTTATTTTTTGAGTTGGAGTCTCACTCTGTCGCCCAGCCTGGAGTGCAGTGGCCGCTCCCGGCCACCGCAGCCTTGCCCTGCTGGACTCTGGCGATCCTTCCGCCTCAGCCTTTCAAATAGCTGGAACTCCAGGCGTGCACCACCACGCCCAGCTATTTTTTGATTTATTGTAGAGATGAGGTCTTACCAAGTTGCCCAGGCGGGTCTCGAACCCGCAGGCTCAGGCAATCCACTCACCTCGGCCTCCCAAAGCACGGGATTACAGGCTGAGCCACCGAGCCTGGCCCCTTATTTTATAAATGAGAAAAAATTCCAGAAAGGCAAAAAACTTATAAATTAACTCTAAATCACACGGCTAGTGGAAGAACCAGATCAAGCCCTGGTCTCCTGGTTCTCAGGCCAGAATTTTCTTTAACTAGGTGTTGGTACCAAGAACTCTAGAATTCTGAGCGCTGAGTTTCAATCTTCATTATTATGGTGTTGTTTAAGTCAAATCAACATACTTCCTTGAGTAGTAATTTTTCATTTTGAGAGTAAATTTCATCAGACTTCAGAGTATGCTATATAACTCAATGAAATACGATTTCATTGAATATATTATAGTTTATTACTATGATTACTTATAATAATTTAATTGCTTATTTCAATAGACCTGTTTGGGGTAATTTTACTTGTTTACTGCTCAATCTTCTAGAAATAGTGACAAATCATCAAGACACATTCTTATGCATCTTATATATAACCAGAACATTTGACCACAGGCATATAAGATTATTGCCAGCCGGGCTCGGTGGCTCAGCTCGTAATCCCGCGCCTTTGGGAGGCTGAGGTGAGTGGATTGCCTGAGCCCATGGGTTCAAGACCCGCCTGGGCAGCGAGACCTCTTCTCTACAATAAATAAAAAAAAATCAGCCGGGTGTGGTAGCACATGCCTGTAATTCCGGCTACTTGGAAGGCTGAGGCAGAAGGATCGCCGGAGCCCAGCAGGTGGAGGATGCGGTGGCCGGGAGCGGCCACTGTACTCCAGTCTGGGCGACAGAGTGAGACTCCAACTAAAAAAAAAAAAAAAAAAAAAAAGATTATTGTCAATAATTTGACGTACTTGTGATGAGAGAATATGTTGTGGCCATAAGGGCATATAATCTCTTTGTACCTTTCTCTAGAACTGTAAAGTATTATTCTTAAAATGTAAGTGGAAGTTATGAAAACTGGTATTATTCATTTATTCAGATGTCTAGACATGTAGGTAACTTTTCAAAGACTTTCCTTAAACTTCCTTATTTTACATTACTACATAGAGTCTTCTCTGTTGTCATTATTGAAAGAATATGATTACATAGATTCTGTCATATGGGATGAGGATTATTTTAGATTCATATTTATAAGACATTATCTGATAAGAGGATACTGGGCATAATTACAGGGTAATACAACATTACATTGATTAATGACTTCAAGTAAAAAATCCCTCACTAATGTAAATACTATAGTTGGGTAAGATTTGATGTCTAGCTGAATTCACAATTATAATTAGATTTAATCAACGGATGTTGAAGATGCTCACTAATGTGAAAAAAATTTATTTACAATGTCCTCTCAATATTTACCGTTAACAAAAAACATAGCGAAGGTAATAGAAATTCTAAGAATGAATAAAATTTTGGTGTTTGTGAGTATGGATATTAGTTTCTATGCTGTGTTTTAGTGTGATTGAGGTAAAAGAACTCAGTGAAATCAGTCTATTTGCTGTAAAGAAGTGAATAGTTTATTCAAAACAAATTATTCATGATGGCAGCTGATAAGCTTTCAGGTTTAAATTTCCAAGTAAACTTACAGATCTTTCATAGCAAAAGGAAGAAACCCTTAGTAAATAAAACTTATGTGTTGTTGTCTTCAGCATCTCTTCAATTTTAAGACCAGTGCACTATTCCCTTTTGATTCTTCATCTTTACAATCTGATTTTTTAAAGCATGTTCCCCAAACTGGTTGCCTTTCTACTATGAACTTCTTCCTCTATAGTCTCTGTAAATGACAGTTTAAGTGAATATAATGTTAATGCAATATTTAAAATATAACTTAATTGATTATTTTTAAATTGATTTACTGGCTTTCAGTGGAGCAAATTTTTGACAAAAGAGTTGTGTACACACTGGTTTTGTGTTCTGTACACAGTGTGGAATAAATGTTTTAAAGGAGATTAATTGTGTCTGTACCTCCTAGGCACGTTTCAGTGCCAGGATGTATTCAGCCAATAAAATGCTTATCCTTATTTTGTGGAGCACTATGTGCTTTGGAAGTGTTTCCATCTCAAATATTTAACTGGTTGTGATAAGACCATGGAAACTTTTAGTACCACTTCTCTCTACTCCCTCTCTCTCCTCTTAGCAAAACAGATCAGTTCTTCAGTGCCAAATCTACAAGCTTACAATGTTCCTATTGAACTAAAAGCATACCCATATCATACATAATACTTCTTTCGTTTACCCACCTAAACTATTCATTATGTTAAAAAAAAAAAAAAGCCGAGCAGAATCAATTGAAAGAAAATATGTGGAATACTTGTTTGGGAATTTAGTAACACACAAATTTAGAAATGCTGCTCATTCATTTATATACCACGTGGTCCAGTTATACCTACATTTATTTGTGCTTTAGATTCATACTGGAAATTTTCAAATGTGTATTTGTCAGATCTTCTTTGACGCATCTTAAATAGCCTGGCACCACGGTTGCTGAGATGGGATAATTCTTCCAACATGATGTCTTTGGGGATGCTGACCTTTTTGCCCAGGTCCATGCCATCTACATCTGTAAAACAATATTTATATGCATGAAAACTCCAAGATAAGCAAGCATTGTTAAATGCTTTTCTACATTCCATAATTCTAAAATTCTACCACTTTCTAATTGCATGATTATAATATGTTACTTATTTTCTCAAAACCTCAATTTCCTCATCTCTAAAGTGGGGCTAATAATACCTATTGCAAAGCATTAATACGAGAATTAAGTACAAATGTTTCACTTAACATGGCACAGAGAAAGAATGAATAACAGCTGTCATTATTATCAGTACAATTTAGTCTTTTCATATTGAGTGAGCTTTCAAACAGCACTACTTCATAGTTACATTGATAAGCTCTGTTTTGCTCCCCACATTTTTATGTATCAGATTAAGCTGTCTCCTTGCTGAAATGCCTACTCTCCCACCCTACCACATCCCATTTTCCAGTCTTGATCACGTTGAGTCTGCGTCCAGCACTGAGGATCCTACATAAAGCAGGCAGGTGATAATTTTTTTTTTTTTGAGTTGGAGTCTCAGTCTGTCACCCAGACTGGAGTGCAGTGGCTGCTCCCGGCCACCGCAGCCTCGACCTGCTGGGTTCCAGCGATCCTTCCGCCTCAGCCTTCCAAGTAGCTGAAACTACAGGCGCGTTCTACCACGCCCGGCTAATTTTTGATTTATTGCAGAGATGAGGTCTCGCCAAGTTGCCCAGGAGGGTCTCGAACCCGCGGGCTCAGGCAATCCACTCACCTCGGCCTCCCAAAGCGTGGGATTACAGGCTGGGTCACCAAGCCCGGCCAAGGTGATAAATATTGAATGAACTTTCCCAGTCCAGTGCAAATTTCTAGTCTGCAGATCCTTTCCCTAAAATCTCTATTCATAATTATTCATTCTTTCTCTATATTCCCATAACACTGAATCACATATGCCTGATTCTTTTTATTGGTTTTATGGTTTGCATTTTTTTTTAGGTTTTAGTGGTTTTGTTCCCCATACCTTAAACATATGTGATGTTCAGCAAGTGAATGTTATTTCCTATTTCCAGTACTAAAAAGCCTTTCCAAAATCCAAAAGAGATGACATTCCTCTATTTGTTTTTTTAATCAGGAACATATGAGGGGGATCCCCACCAAAAACAGAATTAATTTATAAAAAACTTGTGTACCTCCTCTTACATGTTTAAACTTCAAAGTACTCCCCATTTGACGCAAAACACTTATCAAAATGCTTTTCCACTGATCAAAATAGTTTTCAAGCTCATCAATTTTGTTGACTTTTAGTGCTTCTGCCATTTTTTGTTTCATCTCTTCCACATCAGCAAAATGTTTCCCTTTAAGAACTTTTTTCATCCAGGAAAACAAAATAAAAAGTCACTCAGGGTGAGATTAGGTGAATAGGGAGGGTGGGACACAGAAGTCAAGCCATTTTTGGTCAAAAACTGCTGAACACTCAGTGTGGTGTGGGCAGGTACACTCTTAAATCATCCATCAGGAAGTGGGTAAATGCACTGAAAATCCCCACAAAAAAAAAAAAAAAAATTCACCGAAGCTGAACACAGCCTCTCAGAGCAATGCTAGTTGGTATACTGATGCCAATAGGTTCCTAGAACATTTACCTAGAGGGGAAACCTGAACTGCAAGAGACCTGCCCTCTTAAAGAGAATTCCATTTTCTTTGGGTCCCCTCTTGTATTTCTGTAATAACCACAGAGTTCTTTTGCCACTGTGGACTTCTGTTAAATGCACAGGAAGAAAAATTGAACCATTAAGAGCTCAGCCTGTAATCCCACGCCTTTGGGAGGCTGAGGTGACTGGATTGCCTGAGTTCGAGGTTTTGAGACCCGCCTGGGCAGGTGAGACCTCATCTCTACAATAAATTCAAAAAATCAGCCGGGCGTGGTAGCACACGCCTGTAATTCCGACTACTTGGAAGGCTGAGGCGGAAGGATCGCCGGAGCCCAGCAGGTCAAGGCTGCGGTGGCCAGGAGCGGCCACTGCACTCCAGTCTGGGCGACAGAGTGAGACTCCAACTCAAAAAAAGAAAGAAAGAAAGAGAGAGAGAGAGAGAGAGAGAGAGAGAAAGAAAGAAAGAAAGTCAATAATTATTTTGATTGATTGGGCAACATTCTTTGATGATGTGGCCAATTAACCATAATAATTAGGTTTTTGGGAGTGGTTTGGAATAAAACAATATGATTACTTTATGCATTTTATTGCCTTTTTTCTTTGAAAAAAATTAATTTGTTTACACTTTGTATTTCATGGAGAAGAACTCCATTAATTATAAAAATCATAATATCAAGATTTTTGCCTCTGGGAAGAGGATGTAGATATATTTTTCAGTACACATCTATTAAGTACAATTAAAAATCCTGGACATTATGAAAAAAAAGACCAAAAATACAAACTCAAAAGTGAAAAGAAATAGGCAGACCAGCTAGAGACCCCAGGACCTTGAAAACAATGTGGTAGTGAATTCTCTCTCTCTCTCTCTCTCTCTCTCTCTCTCTCTCTCCCCCTCTCTCTCTCCCTTCTTCCCTCTCTCACTCTCTCACTCTCTCACTGTGTGTGTGTGTGTGTGTGTGTGTGTGTGTGTGTGTGTGTGTGTGTGTGTGTGTGTTTTGCCTTATATATCTCAGACTTGGAATTGAAGATACTGGCAACCCAGAAACACCAAGAGGTACAGTTAAACAAAGCTGCAACAAAAGATTATTTTCTCTAGCTGAAGGGCTGGAAAAGGAGCAGCCTAACAAGACAGAAAATGATAAGACAATAAACACTCTTCTTTAGCCCAACACCATAGAAATCACTTTGACCTTACCTCCTCCCATGTCAGCAAAGACCTTGTGTGGAGCCCAGAATTTCACCCTGTCAGGCTATAACAAGTTTTCCCAATACTCTCATTAGGGTGGTATTAGAGATGCAAAGTAGGAAGTTGGGACTTTTGTTCCTATTGGCTAGTAACAAGCTCCTCTTCCCTGCAGTGTTAGTGGAGACCATGTAGGACTCTTAATTCCTATCCTCCCAGCAATAAGAGAGAGGCCCCCTCAAGTTTCAGTGGGGTCAAGTGGGGAACCCAGACTTTTGCCTTTGCCTGGCTGTAATTAGGGGGCACTCCCTTACCTCTGTTAGAGCAATGTCAGACAAGAACAGATGAAACAGGTTTAAATAAGAACAGGTATCTAAGAGCATAATATAAAAATGCTCAGGTTTAAGTTTAAAAAATCACTAATCATTCAAAGAATAAGGAAGTCAAACTGAATGAAAAAAAAATCAGATGATAAAACTGAGATACTGAAATATTAAAATTATATGGCAAAGACTTTAAAGTACCCATGTTTCAAAAAGCAATTAGGAAGCTGCTTGAAACAAAGGGGGGGGGGAGGACTTTGGGGGAAAAGACAGAATATCTCACCAGAGAAATAGAAGATGTAAAAACACCATATTAAAACTTTAGAACTAAAAATACAATAATCAGAATAAAAAGCTCAGTGGATATGCTCTATAGCAGAATGGCAAGGGCAAAGCAAAGAATTAAGTAAACTGGGAGATAATTAATAGAAATTAATCAATAAGAGCAACAGAGATAAAAATTAGACTTAAAAACAAATGGACAGACCAGGCTCAGTGGCTCAACCTGAAATCCCAGCACTTTGGGAGGCTGAGGTGAATGGATTGCCTGAACCGGCAGGTTTGAGACCAGCCCAGGCAACTTGGTGAGACCTCATCTCTACAATAAATCAAAAATTAGCTGGGTGTGGTAGCATGCCTGTAGTTCTGGCTACTTGGAAGGCTGAGATGGAAGGATCACCAGAGCCCAGAAGGTCGGTGCTGGAGTGGCCATGAGCATGCATGCCACTGCACTCCAGTCTGGGTGACAAAAAAAACACGAACAGAGTATTTTCAGGGATACAGGAGACTATAACAAAAGATATACCATCTGTATCATTGAGGTCCCAGAAGAGAGGAAAAAGAAGGTGAGGATTAAAAATATATATATTCACAAAGATAATGACTGAAAACATCACAAATGTAATTTTTTTTTTAATTCAAGAAACTGATAAATGCAAATAAACCAACAACAAAGTTTATAAATAAGCTTCTGAAAACTAAAGACACAGAAAAAGTATTGAAAGTAGTCATAGAAAACTAGTCTCCTAGGGAGAAAACAATTAGAATAACAGTAGATTTTTCCAACAGAAGTTATGAAAACCAGAAGAAAGTGGCACAGCATTTCCCAGGTGCTGAAAGAAAAGTATTGTCAACCCAGGATACTATACCCAGTGAAAATATCCTTCAGAAATAAAGAAGAAATTGATACATTCTTAATGAAGGAAAGCTAAAATAATTTGTCACCTAAGTGAAGTTCAGCAAGAAAACAATAAAAAAGAAGTACAGAAAGAAAACAACAAAAGAAGGAACTTGGAGCATCAGATAGAAAGAAGGACTATAGTAAGCAAGAATGTAAGAAAATGCATTAGTCTTCCTTTCTCCTCTTAAGTTTTCCAAATCATATTTGATAGTAGAAGCAAAATTATAACCCTGACTGATGTATATGTATGTAGAAGAAATACTTCAGACAATTATATGATAAACAGGGGAGGATAAAGAAATACATAAATAGATAAGGTTTCTATGCATCAGTTGAGTTGGATGAGTAAAATTACAACATTAGTAGACTAGGGTGAGTTATGCATATAGAATGCAATACTTAGGGCAACTCCTGAAGATATGTGAACAGATGCACTTAAAAGCACTATGATAAACCAATATGAAACTCTAAAAAGTGTTAAAATAATCCCACAGGAAGACAGGAAAAAGAAAACAGAAACAAAAATCAGAAATGACAACCAGAAAACAAAAAATAAAATGATAGATTTAAGCTCTAATACATTAATAATCACATTAAATATAAATACTCTAACTATACCAATAAAGGAAAACAATTGGGAGATCAGATTAAAAATGAACCAACTATATGCTGCCTTCAAGAAACTCACTTAAAATATAACATTATAGTCAGGA